TGACTGTAAAAGGGAGACAACTCGTGCAGCCCTACAGTCAACAGACCAAGTGTTTGAAGATTGTGTTCTCCGCGTGGGAAGCTCATGCAAAGCACATAATTGTAATAATACAAGGGAAAAAGCTGTGTCACCAAAAGTTGAATACTCTAAAAAATTGCTTTCAGGGAAACGAATTTTGTTGAAATGAATACCATCATGATTACTTGAACATACACGTACTGCATATCCCTGTGATGTTTTCCTGCAGACAGTTTTGCCAGTCTGATTGAATAAGATGAAAGCAGGTTGAACAAGAATAATTAGATTGCAACAGGATTGTAGGAAATGCACGAAAGGCTACCAGTGTAGGAACAGAAATACATAATGTAAACCCAAACAACAAAAACGGAGAATGAGTGAAAAGAAACAAGCTCCCGATGGAGAACTCTCATTTGACTGTTCAATAGAGGTTAGATGCTAAAGATGGGATTGTATATGCTGCAGTTAAAATGTCACTATATGTCCATATGTTATCTTACAGCATGAACAGTCATACAAAATGGACTGATTGTTGACATTGATTAAACTAGACAAGTACCTAAGGGTTAAGGTTTTTATTCTAGTGTGGGTCATTTGTGAGAAGAAAAACCCCAACATTCTTTGGATATATACAATACTAAATACGGGTAAATGAAGAGGAAACAGTATGTATTATGATATTGAATAAGACTCAGAGAGAAAGCCTCTGTCTTCTGTAAAATGCCTTTTGTCTTGTTACTTTGAAAGTTAAAGTCAAAACCTGTCCAAAGTTGAAATGCCCAAACTACAAAATGAGCAAAAATAGGAAAAAAAGGTGAGTATCGAGTTGGCATGGTGGTATCCCCGCGGTTCGACCGAGGTTTCCCCAACGAGGATAGATCCAATGCTTTAGGCTCAGTGGAAGTAAGTCGGCAATCAATCCACCATGCTACGGCTCACCCGGCAGAGATACAGACAAGTTGTATACTTATATTTACAGGTTCTGCCCTGTAATACTTCCATTTGATTGTGCAATTGACTGTAAAGGGAGACAACTCGTGCAGCCCTACAGTCAACAGACCAAGTGTTTGAAGATTGTGTTCTCCGCGTGGGAAGCTCATGCAAAGCACATAATTGTAATAATACAAGGGAAAAAGCTGTGTCACCAAAAGTTGAATACTCTAAAAAATTGCTTTCAGGGAAACGAATTTTGTTGAAATGAATACCATCATGATTACTTGAACATACACGTACTGCATATCCCTGTGATGTTTTCCTGCAGACAGTTTTGCCAGTCTGATTGAATAAGATGAAAGCAGGTTGAACAAGAATAATTAGATTGCAACAGGATTGTAGGAAATGCACGAAAGGCTACCAGTGTAGGAACAGAAATACATAATGTAAACCCAAACAACAAAAACGGAGAATGAGTGAAAAAGAAACAAGCTCCCGATGGAGAACTCTCATTTGACTGTTCAATAGAGGTTAGATGCTAAAGATGGGATTGTATATGCTGCAGTTAAAATGTCACTATATGTCCATATGTTATCTTACAGCATGAACAGTCATACAAAATGGACTGATTGTTGACATTGATTAAACTAGACAAGTACCTAAGGGTTAAGGGTTTTTATTCTAGTGTGGGTCATTTGTGAGAAGAAAAAACCCCAACATTCTTTGGATATATACAATACTAAATACGGGTAAATGAAGAGGAAACAGTATGTATTATGATATTGAATAAGACTCAGAGAGAAAGCCTCTGTCTTCTGTAAAATGCCTTTTGTCTTGTTACTTTGAAAGTTAAAGTCAAAACCTGTCCAAAGTTGAAATGCCCAAACTACAAAATGAGCAAAAATAGGAAAAAAGGTGAGTATCGAGTTGGCATGGTGGTATCCCCGCGGTTCGACCGAGGTTTCCCCAACGAGGATAGATCCAATGCTTTAGGCTCAGTGGAAGTAAGTCGGCAATCAATCCACCATGCTACGGCTCACCCGGCAGAGATACAGACAAGTTGTATACTTATATTTACAGGTTCTGCCCTGTAATACTTCCATTTGATTGTGCAATTGACTGTAAAAGGGAGACAACTCGTGCAGCCCTACAGTCAACAGACCAAGTGTTTGAAGATTGTGTTCTCCGCGTGGGAAGCTCATGCAAAGCACATAATTGTAATAATACAAGGAAAAAAGCTGTGTCACCAAAAGTTGAATACTCTAAAAAATTGCTTTCAGGGAAACGAATTTTGTTGAAATGAATACCATCATGATTACTTGAACATACACGTACTGCATATCCCTGTGATGTTTTCCTGCAGACAGTTTTGCCAGTCTGATTGAATAAGATGAAAGCAGGTTGAACAAGAATAATTAGATTGCAACAGGATTGTAGGAAATGCACGAAAGGCTACCAGTGTAGGAACAGAAATACATAATGTAAACCCAAACAACAAAAACGGAGAATGAGTGAAAAGAAACAAGCTCCCGATGGAGAACTCTCATTTGACTGTTCAATAGAGGTTAGATGCTAAAGATGGGATTGTATATGCTGCAGTTAAAATGTCACTATATGTCCATATGTTATCTTACAGCATGAACAGTCATACAAAATGGACTGATTGTTGACATTGATTAAACTAGACAAGTACCTAAGGGTTAAGGTTTTTTTATTCTAGTGTGGGTCATTTGTGAGAAGAAAAAACCCCAACATTCTTTGGATATATACAATACTAAATACGGGTAAATGAAGAGGAAACAGTATGTATTATGATATTGAATAAGACTCAGAGAGAAAGCCTCTGTCTTCTGTAAAATGCCTTTTGTCTTGTTACTTTGAAAGTTAAAGTCAAAACCTGTCCAAAGTTGAAATGCCCAAACTACAAAATGAGCAAAAATAGGAAAAAGGTGAGTATCGAGTTGGCATGGTGGTATCCCCGCGGTTCGACCGAGGTTTCCCCAACGAGGATAGATCCAATGCTTTAGGCTCAGTGGAAGTAAGTCGGCAATCAATCCACCATGCTACGGCTCACCCGGCAGAGATACAGACAAGTTGTATACTTATATTTACAGGTTCTGCCCTGTAATACTTCCATTTGATTGTGCAATTGACTGTAAAAGGGAGACAACTCGTGCAGCCCTACAGTCAACAGACCAAGTGTTTGAAGATTGTGTTCTCCGCGTGGGAAGCTCATGCAAAGCACATAATTGTAATAATACAAGGGAAAAAGCTGTGTCACCAAAAGTTGAATACTCTAAAAATTGCTTTCAGGGAAACGAATTTTGTTGAAATGAATACCATCATGATTACTTGAACATACACGTACTGCATATCCCTGTGATGTTTTCCTGCAGACAGTTTTGCCAGTCTGATTGAATAAGATGAAAGCAGGTTGAACAAGAATAATTAGATTGCAACAGGATTGTAGGAAATGCACGAAAGGCTACCAGTGTAGGAACAGAAATACATAATGTAAACCCAAACAACAAAACGGAGAATGAGTGAAAAAGAAACAAGCTCCCGATGGAGAACTCTCATTTGACTGTTCAATAGAGGTTAGATGCTAAAGATGGGATTGTATATGCTGCAGTTAAAATGTCACTATATGTCCATATGTTATCTTACAGCATGAACAGTCATACAAAATGGACTGATTGTTGACATTGATTAAACTAGACAAGTACCTAAGGGTTAAGGGTTTTTATTCTAGTGTGGGTCATTTGTGAGAAGAAAAACCCCAACATTCTTTGGATATATACAATACTAAATACGGGTAAATGAAGAGGAAACAGTATGTATTATGATATTGAATAAGACTCAGAGAGAAAGCCTCTGTCTTCTGTAAAATGCCTTTTGTCTTGTTACTTTGAAAGTTAAAGTCAAAACCTGTCCAAAGTTGAAATGCCCAAACTACAAAATGAGCAAAAATAGGAAAAAAGGTGAGTATCGAGTTGGCATGGTGGTATCCCCGCGGTTCGACCGAGGTTTCCCCAACGAGGATAGATCCAATGCTTTAGGCTCAGTGGAAGTAAGTCGGCAATCAATCCACCATGCTACGGCTCACCGGCGGCAGAGATACAGACAAGTTGTATACTGCATCACCGTACGAGCTGTACTCGTAACGATCAACATGCACCATATATACACTCGTGTGTACAACTACTTTTTGTAGACAAATTAAGTGTTAAAAAGAGGAAAAAGAGAGAAAATCCAGATGGAGCCCTAATCAACACTTTATTTGTAGCTGGGGCAAAGTAGACTTCCACAATTATTGGAGACTTTTGATTCATTTTGTTAATAATTCTGTAGGTTCTGGTAGACTGTTTCGTTTGGTTGCAAGTGGCGCATATGTAGTGCATGTTGTCTTTATGTTAGGTAGAAAATGCTTCCATGGCATATCTCAGCTCTCCATGAATGGACCCAGATTACATTTGATCTTCAGCAACCCATGCTTGTCGTTAGAAGCGACTAACGGGATCGGGTGGTCAGGCTCGCTGACTTGGTTTGCACATGTCATCGTATCCCAACTGTGTAGATGAATGCTCATGCTGTTGATCACTGGATGTCTGGTAAAGTCTCCTTTATTAGAGACAGCCGAAATTTTGCTGAGTACGGCGTTAAACAACCTAAATAGAAACAAACAAGCATCTGCACTGGTATACTGAACTATTCTATTAAAACATCCTAGGTAACACAGGCATTTTGTACTGGGGCTTATTGTATAACGGAAGCTGCTTGGCAAGAGGTGCATTATATCCGAGTGCTTACTCCTTACCAAACGGATAAGAGAAGACAAAACTTTTATTTCGGGAAGTATTTCATCCCAGAATCTCCACATGAGGACTTTTGTGCTCAGCTGACAGTTCCAAGACATGAAACAGCCATGGCTATATTTTATACACAACGAGATGCTAAATGGCACGTTAATACATCCGTATATTCAAATGGCTTGGTCTTTAGTTTAAGATTGTTCACTGTTACGACAAAATAAGAACAAATATTACTATTTTGATTTATTTTATTTCCTTACCATTCATGGTTAACGATATATACTGTACAACCAAGACTCACAAACACGCAAAACAAAAACAGAGAATATCCCCACACAAACAGTACCATGATGATCATGAAATACCTGCAAAAACTGTCATATCTGAAAACTGCACGTTCGTCAATAACCACGGTTTAACTGGAAATATATCTAGTTTAGACCTCATATTGTCATGGAGAAGTAAACCAACGTTTCTCATCACAGTGCTGGTCAAAGCAAAACGTGTCATTTAAACGATGGTTCGTCACGGCGACGAATGATAGTTGGTTTTGTACGGTAAATAGATCCGATTCCAAATTTGTCTATAACTGTTTCCAGATTTTAACGCCGGAACTAGGTTCCCCCTATAAACACTGCCTCCTGAATGCTAAAGTTTGTTTGAACAGAGTAAACAGCTGGTGATCCGCTCCTTAAATATAATTTTAATGAGAAATGTCCCTTTTGGGATTTTTATGCTCCTTGCATCTAGCTTAATAATACGTTACATTACATATTCTGGTTTTGTTTGAGATATAAAGTAGGTGCTTAACGATTATTCGAGAAACCGTAACTGCAGTTGTAAAGCATTTTCAGGAAACAATTTGTCAACTTTATCACCCTAGAAGATTAGAGGGTTGAGCAGAAGGTAACGGATTCATGTGGCGATCGGGAAGTACCAAGGCTAATAGTTGGGAGGAACCTCAAGGTTCTAATCGGGAGGAACCGAGGCTAATAGTTGGGAGGAACCTGAGGCTTCTAATCGGGAGGAACCGAGGCTAATAGTTGGGAGGAACCTGAGGCTTCTAATCGGGAGGAACCGAGGCTAATAGTTGGGAGGAACCTGAGGCTTCTAATCGGGAGGAACCGAGGCTAATAGTTGGGAGGAACCTGAGGCTTCTAATCGGGAGGAACCGAGGCTAATAGTCGGGAGGAACCTGAGGCTTCTAATCCAGGAGGAACCGAGGCTAATAGTCGGGAGGAACCTGAGGCTTCTAATCGGGAGGAACCGAGGCTAATAGTCGGGAGGAACCTGAGGCTTCTAATCGGGAGGAACCGAGGCTAATAGTCGGGAGGAACCTGAGGCTTCTAATCGGGAGGAACCGAGGCTAATAGTTGGGAGGAACCTGAGGCTTCTAATCGGGAGGAACCGAGGCTCATAAACAGGAGGGACCGAAGCTCATAATCAGGAGGAAACGAAGCTCAGAATCAGGAGGAACCGAAGCTCATTATTAAACCTAACTTGAAGAGTCCTAATGTGGAAGAATGAAAGTCCTTACGCAGGAAGAACAAAGGTTCTCAATAGGGAAGAGCCAAGGTTCGCAATCAAGACAACCCATTGATTCGAACCAGCTGCTGGCTGATCCTGGTCCAGGAGGTCATTATGTAAGAAGGTGACATCTTCATGAACAAATACGACGAATGTGAGGCTAATCAAATTCATTTAATTGTGCCCAACATATCGAGGCTAGTTTTAGCAACAACAAACAGATTACATATACATGTACATGGTAATTGCGCAGACATCGTCATTTGATATTAATTCATGTACATATACTCAAAGGAAAACGAAAGCGTAATTCATTAAAAACTGTAATCAATGATGAACACGACCCAATTTTACGTCAGTACTTGAAATCGTCAAAGAGTGAATGAGTATGGTTTTATGCTGCTTCCTGCACGGCATGGGAACCAGAAATGGGACTCCACACATCATAGCCATGATGGGAATCGAACCTGAATCGAACCTGTGACGAGCGAACGCTATAAGTACTTGGCCACCCTACCGACCTAAAACTATATACAAAAGTTCTTCCTCATGCGCTTTTAAACAATTGGGGCGGTAGGGGTTGCCTAGTGGTTAAAGCGTTCGCTCGTCACGCTCGAAGACCCAAGTTCGATTCCCCACATGGGTACAATGTGTGGAGCCCATTTCTGGTGTCCCCCGCCGTGATATTGCTGGAATATTGCTTAAAGCGGCGTAAAACCACATCCATTCTCTCACTTCTAAACATTCACCATATGCCAAACAAAGAAAAGATGGTTACATTTACCTTTGAGTGTACATTCTGTTAATGCCTTAATGCTACCACACAATGCCTGTCAACTTGTCTCGTCTTTGAGTGTAAATACAGAGACAGTCATGGAGTCATGTAACTAAGGAATGGTATATATGCCTCAGTAGTTTACATCAGGCTGCTGCCAGGCCTGGAGTTTATAACCATCAAAAATATTGAAGATACGTATGTCGCTCTGGGCGGCATTGAAAGCAATGCACAGATGAAGAGCTAAACCGGGGACGATACTTGACTCATCCGCTGTTTTGGACCTAGTAAACAATTTTTGGCACGGTTAAATGACTGGCATGCATGTCCGTTATGACGAGGGTTTCTTAGATCCACTATGGCTGGAAGGGTATGGCATTCGTGGAATGGCTATATATCACACTGTTTACATTCAGTCTATGTGGACTGGTTTGGAGACGCAGGGTCATGGAATGGGGCATGAGAAATGAACGAAAATTGTGTGTCAACAAGTGAAACGAATCGTGTCAAAGGTTAAGACTAATATTTAGTGATACGTACTCATTTTGTTAACCCTTCATGTTATAAAGAGATTTTTGACAAGGTCAGCTGAGGATATACAGAAGAATTGTAAACCGTTGTTATCAAGGCAAGATGTCTTAGCGTCCTTGACGAGTTTAGGTATTGTATAACCGAGATCACTTCACGTCATCAATGGTCTACCAATGTCGGCATTGAGATGAGGCTTCAGATGAATAAATGATTGATCTGCTTTACACCGTATCAGCAATTTTTCAGCTTTTCGCGGCGAGGAGCTCTAGATGAGGGTTGACAGTGAGGTCAGTGATTTGTGTGGGGGTAGGGATCCGCATTGGGGTCTGATGATGATGGCTGGCGATGGGTATATATATATATAGGGGTGGGGGTGATGGCTGGCGATGGTGAGGTGATGGTTAGGACGGGTGAGGTGATGTTTAGTAGGGGTTTAGTATCACCACAGCCGCTTGGATCAGGACTCGTCAACCACCGGGCAGTTGGAATGAAGAAGGTTGAGCAGCTTGTTAAGGCACTAAGTGAGAGGTAGGTTCCATCTACCTACGTCGGACAGTCGTATCAAGGTATCAAGGTATTCATGGTATGGTACGGTCTTCATTACAACCCAAATACCACGAAACAGTCACGTAGGACATGGAGTGTTACATGATTATCTCACCTTAGGTCAAGGACGTAAGAGTACGGATTTGTTTTTCTTATTACATACCATTTTAATACTATATCGACTACGTTTACAGTGAGTGGACGAGTTGTTATTACTTTTTGGAAAGAAATCTTAAACTATTCTAATTGTTTTCTTCAAAAAAAAGAAGCAACAATTTGTAAATATCTTTTTGATTTGGTTTTAGTCAGGAACTTAACACGCATGATCTAATCACGAGGTGAACGGATCTTTATGTACACACGTAGATGGGTCTATATTGTGATGATTATCAAACACGGTGATGGATAATCAAACACGGTGATGGATAATCAAACACGGTGATGATTATCAAACACGGTGATGGATAATCAAACACGGTGATGATTATCATACACGGTGATGACTATCATACATGATGATGGATAATCAAACACGGTGATGATTATCATACACGGTGAAGATTATCATACACGGTGATGATTATCAAACACGGTGATGACTACCATACATAATGATGGATAATCAAGGGTTAGTATCACGCAGCCGTAGGAATAGTGTGTTGGAAGCGAAGTTCTAGCGATCGACACAACACAGCACCGTGACACAATTCTAGCTGCCACAACCATTTCAAACAGACACAACATGCCGACACAAATTAAACACACAAAAAACAATAACACCTTCTATAGTTTACTCCCTATTAAGCATGCGCCTTGTTTAAAGCATGTATTCCGTTACATTCGCAAAAATATACGCAACATATGTGCAAAATCACATAGGATGAGGTTGATGAACATATAATACATGGACTGACGGATGATGTCACATCACGTTTTGATAATGTGCATATGAACTACCCCAACCATCGGTGTTGGCATGAACAACTCGTCGAAGTGACTGCATTTACAATATATCTGTTTAGCGGAATCTTGTGTACATAGTTTGTACATAACACTGTACACACACACACACACACACACAAACATACCTACCTCGCTACATACATACATCCATCCATCCATCCATCCATGCATACATAAACTGTAACCTATTTACATCTTAAACAACGATACAATATGTTCTGAAACTGTACATGAAGTCATGTCAGCAATGTGTAAAAATGCAATATAATGCAACATCATCAATGTTTATCTTATTACAAGTATAAAGTATATTGGTAGAAAGCCCTTTATCTACTTCCATTCCTACAGTTAAGGCAGTGTAAACTCATTGAATAAAATTCAATGGTATTAAAATAGGGGTGCTGAATAACGATGCAAATCGCTCTCTGCCTACAAAAACCTAGCCCAGACACCTTTCACACCAATCAAAGTTTTACACCAAGCACAATGTCAAAATATATCACCTTTCTATAACGTAAAGACATTCATCCCAAACACACCTATTCATTCAGAAACCAGATTCCAACATCTCACAACAAAATATAGTAGGGTCCAAGTTTACAGAAGATGAGATTTCTGGAACAATTATTGAGAATATAATTCCCTCGACGCCAGTTCTCTTTCTTGGACCCGTTAATGTCTCAAGATGGATCCACCTACTTCTAAGACTTCACTTACATCGGTCCGTCTGGTAACATGGACCCTCTTGTAGCAAGGCATAGATAGCAAGTGACGTCTGGTAGCATGGACCATGGTTTCATGGCACGTACCCATCTCTACGAAGACTTATATATAAAAGACCTGCCTGTTATTGAAGTACAGATTTTCCACTGTGTTCTGTGTAAAATAGTGTTCGTCTTCGTCAATTTCCAAACTAAACTACAGATGCGAAAACCCTAAGTTGATGTCGTTAGAGATTACTCTCTGAGTCCATCTTTATGACATCAACATTATCACGTGGTCTGACCCATCCAATCAGATGAGTTCTCTCAAACCAGCAAACGCTGCCGCACTCAGTAATCCAGAGATTGGCAGGGTCACTAGCCAGGCTATGATGATGTTTCGGAACAATCTCCAGTCCACGTTTTCATTGGACCGAACTCGACCGACGAAGACGATGCTGCCCACTTTGCAGTGGGTTGTGCTGATGGGGATGCCGATGTTGGAGGCGATGAGAACGGTGAGCGCTGAACCTATCTCTATACAGAACCCGCTGAAAACCAAAATTGACCAAGTTAGCTGGTTTTGTCGTGAACATTACCCCCATATCAGACACAGTCCCTATTGTGTAGGGGACTTTCTTCGTAACCAACATTCTTAGGTGGAATTATTTCTGAAAAATGTAATCACTTTCAACCGTTCTTCTCTATGGTGCCATACGACATGTAGACCACTTCAAACCAGTTTGAGCGGCAGAATAGCCTAGTGGTAGAAGCGTTCGCTCGTCGCCAAGACATGGGTTCGAATCCCCACTTGGGTACAATGTTTAAAGTCCATTTCTGGTGACCCCTCCGTGATATTGCTGGAATAATACTAAAAGCAGTGTAAATCTAAACTCAATCAAATTAGACCGGTTTACCGTACTGTAACTGATTTGGACGGTGTTGTTTTAGGCAGACATTTTCCATATTAACATAAGAACTCTAGATCATGTAACATTGGACCCTTCTAACACACTTCGTAACACACCCACCTCCGTGATTCTATAACTCATCTAGATGGCGTCCCCTCATGTTAGATCTCACCTAGATCATGTTACATTGGACCCTTCTAACACACTTCGTAACACACCCACCTCCGTGATTCTATAACTCATCTAGATGGCGTCCCCTCATGTTTGATCTCACCTAGATCATGTTACATTGGACCCTTCTAACACATTTCGTAACACACCCACCTCCGTGATTCTATAACTCATCTAGATGGCGTCCCCTCATGTTAGATCTCACCTAGATCATGTTACATTGGACCCTTCTAACACACTTCGTAACACACCCACCTCCGTGATTCTATAACTCATCTAGATGGCGTCCCCTCATGTTTGATCTCACCTAGATCATGTTACATTGGACCCTTCTAACACACACTTCGTAACACACCCACCTCCGTGATTCTATAACTCATCTAGATGGTGTCCCCTCATGTTTGATCTCACCTAGATCATGTTACATTGGACCCTTCTAACAACCCACTTCGTAACACACCCACCTCCGTGATTCTATAACTCATCTAGATGGCGTCCCCTCATTTTAGATCTCACCTAGATCATGTTACATTGGACCCTTCTAACACATTTCGTAACACACCCACCTCCGTGATTCTATAACTCATCTAGATGGTGTCCCCTCATGTTAGATCTCACCTAGATCATGTTACATTGGACCCTTCTAACACACACTCTAACAACACACTTCTGTAACACACCCACCTCCGTGATTCTATAACTCATCTAGATGATCTCACCTAGATCATGTTTTGGACCCTTCTCACCTCGTAACACACCCACCTCCGTGATTCTATAACTCATCTAGATGGTTCATGTTTGATCTCCCTAGATTCTACATTGGACCCTTCTAACAACCCACTTCGTAACACACCCACCTCCGTGATTCTATAACTCATCTAGATGGCGTCCCTCATGTTAGATCTCACCTAGATCATGTTACATTGACCCTTCTAACACACTTCGTAACACATTCCGTGATCCTATAACTCATCTAGATGGTGTCCCCTCATGTTTGATCTCACCTAGATCATGTTACATTGGACCCTTCTAACACACTTCGTAACACACCCACCTCCGTGATTCTATAACTCATCTAGATGGCGTCCCCTCATGTTAGATCTCACCTAGATCGTGTTACATTGGACCCTTCTAACACACTTCGTAACACACCCACCTCCGTGATTCTATAACTCATCTAGATGGCGTCCCCTCATGTTAGATCTCACCTAGATCTTGTTACTATTGATGCCAAACCATAACATACATAGTACACCCAGGTTTTATTACCTTAAACCGTTCCCGACAGTGTTATAAAACAGGACACCTAGACAAGTCAAAACATTGATTGCACAACAGTCTCGTTTCCTGCTGACTGGGTTCCGTCCTATTGCGGCGACTTAGTACAATAACCAGTCCAGAATTTTGAGACCAACTCATTCAACTGGATATATAAATATTAATCAGTATTATTTGATACATCTAATTACTTGCATATTGCAACACTAAGCTCCTTATAATCCTTGCAAACACGTCGTGCAGCGTGCTCTGTCGTACAGCGTGCTCTGACAAACGGAAATCTGGAAATAGTGGAAAGCTCAAAACGAGGCTCTGCCTAGAAACATTTGGCGGTCTGGTACGGATTTGATATTATATCAATCGCATTGTACGTTTCAAAACTACATTTGATAAGCGCAAAGAACACATAACAGTTGTAGCCAGTGAGCCAGATGAATTGTGTTTCATTGTACGACCTCTTCAAACAGGGCCAGTCTGTGACGTCTTAGTTAACGACATGCTGCCTATTTCAAGCAAACCTCATAGAGTTATGTCCCTTGGAACGCTCTTAACGAATATCCGATAAAGCAACTTGTGGTCGAGGCCAGTTCGGCAAACACGGGCAACACCGCGTACGACAGTTTTCTATGTAGGGAACAATCGTTTACATTCCATATATGGCAAATGTTATAAGTTTGGAAGCTGTTCGCCTCAAAGTTAAAATTATCGATTTCATACAAGTCGTAAGGGATAATAAGTCTATTATTGCATCAATAGGAAGATAAAGTGAGTGCATATGCCCCCAATATATAAAACATAGGCACAAATATTGTCGACAATGTGTGACATTGTGCCTTTAAGACCGTTCTCCCTCCATCTTAACACAAGACATTCCCATCTTGATACTCGTGACACCTCGATATTTCACTTTACACAGTGTTTACACAGGACACCTAGATCATATTACTAAAGTACTGTCAGAATTAGAAAAAAACTGTTTTTTCACATTTATATCTACAATTTAGGTAGTTAATATGTGAAAGTGTGAAATATCTGTTGAACTAAGTTCGGCCTAACTACAGTCTCAGTGTGAGGGAGATAGGAAATGTAAAAAAAAAGGATTTTACTGAGGAGAGCTTAGTGCAGAAATGAGCAATGTGGGTTTTTATTTGGAGCAGACCATGGCTTTATGCAAATAAGTGTGCGATGATATTGTATAACAAATGAGACTTATTGAATGTCCATTATGAAATTAGACCTAGCTTCATTATATACGATAGCAGACGTAAAAAATAACAACTTTAATACTGAAACTATTAAGGATGTAGATACCATTGTGTCTCACTATCACTATAAAAAGAAACAGGTAGGAGGGGTCGTCTCAAAAGCAAAACCAAGACAGGTGTTGCCGACGGTAGTTGGGGTCGGGCTTGGGGATAGAGATATTAGCTAAAATTAGAGAATCAATAGAGACATATTCATTAGACATGAAAAAGCATAAAATATATTTAAAATGACCCCTTGTGTCTGTGGGCAGCACGTGCATTTCATGTTAGGTGAGTCGACGGTCAGTCGTCATACCTGGCTGAGCGACCTAATTGCCATCTATAGTCTGATCTATTGTTTTCAGCATCTATTCGTATTTTTTCTAAGTTTTGCCCGATTTTACGAGTAAACATGCTTTTCTGGATATCCTACTACGCATCCCCCTGAACGCCCAGTAAGGCCGATATGGGCTATTTCGACATATGCTATTTTCAATTGTGTCAATTTTAGGGATACAGAGTAACAGCCTAAAAACAGGTTTTTTTCCCTATTTCCCACAGTACTTTAGTGTCCAACCTTCGTCAGTGATTCCATGACTCACCTAGTTGGTGTTACTTTGGACAGATCTTCTCCCATGGTCTTCATGACTCTCCTGCCAAGAATACACAGGCCGACTGAGATTCCGACACCCCCATACAGCAGGATCCATACGGGAGTGGCCGCCTTCTGGGATACAGTGCCGTCGATTGAGATCATCCACAGTGCCACGACTGGGCCAATTGCATTACTGGACAAAAGGAAACAGTTGCCATTAACACCATCAACACATGTACTTATATAGACATCTGTCTGCTTCCTAGTTTTTCAGGGGCGGTGTGGTAGTCTAGTGGTTAAAGCGTTCGCTCGTCACGCCGAAGACCCGGGTTCGAATCCCCACATGGGTACAATGTGTGAAGCCCATTTCTGGTGACCCCGCCGTGATATTGCTGGAATATTGCTAAAAGCTGCTTACTCACTCACTCACTCCTAGTTTTTCATTAACTTGATGAAGGAGAAAGAATTTACACCGAAACGTTTGTTCCTCAAACAATGAAGTTAATATCCATTTTACATCTGTTATCATTTCTACAGCAATATCAACAGCAATCGCATCTGTATTTTCATAACTGCTAATGTTAAATTTTTTGAGGACCTGCTGTGTTATCAAGTTGATTTGGAGTGATCTGCAGTCTAAGTAAACTTAGGCTCAGTATTATTCGTTACACAGCTGTACTGAGTCTAAGAAACCCTAGTAGAAGGTCGCGTCAGCTAACCTTTTGGACTGACCAATCAGAACACAGCTTACCAAATCGCGAAAGTTAACATTCGAACATACCGTTTGAGACTTTATCTAAAATACTCGAACGAATCCGAATGCTATTTTCCGCACGATCGCTTTCGAGTGATACACATGGAGGACGCAATGAGTAAACAGTCGCTGAAAATAGCGTTTTTGTCAATATTCAAGAATGTCATCTTGCGGAAATATAAGCTAATAGTAACCATGTCATTAGAAACCCCCAAGCGTATACTGCAGGTCAAACACCTGTTTTATGCGGATTTTCGTTTGTTGATAGATCAGTGTCAGCGACCGGGGTAGAGAAAATCCCAAACCCGTTTTTAAGGGTCCCGCCGAACCCTAACAAGTAGTCGTTGTCTTATTGATTAAATCCGTTTGGCCGTCTCGCGCTTGAGTGAGTGAGTTAGTGAGTGAGTAAATAATTGAGCCTCGACCAGATAATCCAGTGATCAACAGCATGAGCATAGACCTGCGCAATTGGAAACTGATGACATGGGTCGCCAAAACCAGCGAGCCCGTCCACCGGATCCCGTTAGCCGCCTCTTACGACAAGCATGGGTTACTGAAGGTACATTCTAACCCGGACCTTCACGGGTGTCTCGCGTTTGATTGAACGGTCATAGGTCGGTCAAAGGTTAGCTGGCACGACCTTCTACTAGTAGGGTTTGTTAGACTCAGTATAGCAGTGTAACGAATAATACTGAGTGTGCTCATTCTATCAAACACTGGTCACTGGTATATTTGAGGTGGTCATGTCATATCTGTTAGACTGCTGCCTGAGCACTTCAGACATTTTGCTTCAAATATAAGGTAACTGCCACATCCAAAATGGTTAACAGAGCTCCATCTTCATCTGACATACATCTGTGTACTTGTGAACTGATTTCTCGAGTTCATTTACTTTGTGTCATCATTCCCTGGGGGTCGTTGGGCGTTTCTCGGTATTTTGCTGTCAATTAGATATTTTCTTTTGATGATTTGGTAGACCCTTGTGATATATGTCAATTTTCAGCTAACTTCTGGGAACACTTACCTGACATCATTTCCACCATGTGCAAATGACCCAAACACTGCTGTGAGAATTTGGAGGAATGAGAAAAGTTTGGCTGTTTCCGGTTTGTCTTCGACATTCTTACGCGCCAATGCCAGTCGCTTCTGCTGGAAACAGGAATGAAACGAAAATGACAATCCAGTTTAGAGAAGTAAAATATGTTTCTAAATGTAACAGATTATGTTCTCGGTTAAGGAATGAGTAATCTGCTTAAAAACAAAGCTTTAGCATTCTTGCAGCTATTCGCGGTGTCATGCTTCTTAGACATCAGAAGGAAATGTTCCATGCATCAGTGTTGACTTACCACATCGTCTGTCGGAGGTTCCTCTTCCGTTTCAGCAATGCTCGCGTCGGCTTCTCCTTTACCTGCTGAAAACAACGTCATCATAAGTCTGTAAGTTTGGACTTTTAGATCTTTTAGAACTATTCATACAATATTATGACTTGGGCCAGCAAGAGTGGACTGCACCGATTTTACAAAGTTGAACCTGGGTCTTCAGCGTCCCGAGCTGAATTGTCTAGTATTTGAACCCACGCCCATCCTTTCATGGCAGAAGTAAAGGCCGTAACAGCCATAGTAAAATATATACAGGCGAAGCAGTTACTATCGGGACTTTGGCAAATTCAAAATCAATTTATTGATATATATGGGTGTGTGCTAAATACAAATTCAGAGAGATCTCACCTTCAAGTTCGCCATTGAGTAACTGCTTTTGCTCTTCTTTCTGGTTGTGTGCGCCCTTGTCCTGAAACAATCACGTGTTAATGAAGACATATCCCGCTACAGTTTACGAGCTTCAATATATACCTACATGTAGAGCCCCATTGGGTAAACGCTGTTCAATACTTCGCTTAAAATTATCCTTTAGTCTGTGTCCCAGACACTTGAGAGAAAATAGATAGTTCAAATCGAGTCCAGAATGTCAGGGCACATCTATGTTGCAATAGCTCTGAAATTAAGACTTGTTCTGGGCTTCTTTGGATTATAATTATTGTTTTGTTTTTTTGCAGATAAATATTTATTAAATACGATGACTTAAATTCTGGGACTAAATGTCTAAGTATCCTTGTATGATTAAAATAACATGTTTAAATGGTTTGAAAACATTTTTTTGAAAGAAACACATTGCAAAAGTAGTTACAGCGGAAAACATTGTGCACATACCTTTGTGTTGTGGTTGCTATCTCCAGTGGCTGAAATAAATAAGAATATGTTTGAGTTAGTAACGATACTAGATAATGAGCACTCGCTAATGTACTTCATTTATTCAAGGATGTATGGTTGTGTCAATCAAACTAGATGGAGGGTTTTATGAATGAGTGAACTGGGTTTAACGTCGCTTGGAACACTGTTCCAAGTATATCATTGCCTGTCACCTTGATGAGGGTGGAAAGCCCGAGAAGATGCAGGTCTCAGGCATTTACCACTTTGATGGAATCGACTGGTATAGTGTGGTACTGACTGGTACAGTATGGTACCGACTGGTACAGTATGGTACGGACTGGTACAGTATGGTACCGACTGGTACAGTATGGTACCGACTGGTACAGTATGGTACCGATGGTACCGGCAGACATAAATTTGTTTGTTTGTTGCTTAACACCGCACTCAGCAATATTCCAGCTATATGGCGGCGGTCTGTAATAAATCTAATGTGGACCAGACAATCCAGTGATCAAAGCAGGAGCATCGATCTACGCAATTGGGATACGATGACCTGACCACCCGATCGAATCAAGACCACTTCTAACCTGGGTCTTCACGGTTTGACAAACAAGGAACCATAATCAGAGAGCGAACGGGATTCAAACCCACATTCACACAATTCAAGGTACCTCGGGACCAATTCTGCGGCGCCTTAGACTGACGTGCCCGATTGCGGTACTAGCGATCCGATGTCTTCAACTGTTTCATGTTCTTACCTGACTCTAATGTGGATGTTACATGGATATCCACTTTCTGCTCAGTTTTTCCCCCTTCTTCGGCTTCAGTGAGACGTACAGTGGCGGTATCAGCTGAAATCACAACGAATGACTCATGCAACTAGCCTCCACTTAGAACATGAAACAAGTATAAAATGTGAACGTCAGAGACTAATCAGGCTCGATTACAGGGTCATGAAAAACAGGACATTTCTTTACAATATATTGTGCTTTTGTATTTTGGACATGGGGAGGGTCATCCCAATATATAACAAGCATTACAGGAGGTAATTATTTGCACCATGTAAGTGCATCTTTTCTATGCGAGTCAGTCGAGCCAATCGCAGCATCTAATGCCAATGTTTACATTTGTAACGGGTTTTCAGACTAATATCTCTGAAGTCTTTGAAGTGACGTATTTTACAGACAAAAGTTCCTAAATTATATTCATAAAATATATATAAAAAGGAGCCTAGGAACTTTCTACATCCTCAGAAACTGGCATGCCATATCAAGATTTCTTTGGGCTGTATTGGGTATATTTCTTTCAGAGTCTATAATGACTACGGATTTTGCTGAACAGGGTCCCGATCCACAAAGCGTTCGTAGCGCTACGACATTCGTAAGCCTATGATGAACTATAGAGTAACGACAGGTCGTAACGTTACGAACGGTTTGTGGATCGGGACCCAGGTCAACTCATGTTTGATGAAGAAGAGGAAGGACGCCCTTAATCCAGGTGGTTTCCCTCATGAGTCGCTATAGTGTCTTTGTGTTTCCTGATTTTCTCAAGTGGGTTCAAAAACTGAAATCTTTCAAACACCAAACATATGTCAACTGACCCAGTATTCTATTCCGTTGCCAGGGAACGACGACGAAGTACACAAGCAGCGCCACCACAAGGCCAAGGCCGAACGAGAGGATGAAGACACCATACAGCGGAATACGATCAAAGTATAACACTGAAACAAGGGATACAGTTGCCATAGATCCATTAATAATATTGCAATAGGTAGATATTCTGCAGTAGCAAGTATCCGGAATCATGCAGGACATGAGATACGTCAAGGCTTTGTCTCATAAACAAGTGAGTGAGTGAGTTTTTGTTTTACGCGGCTTTTGGCAATATTTCAGCAATTTCCCCGGCTGATAACATGAGTAATATGCGTTGAAGCAGTAACCTGTTAGGCAACTGGCAAGGTTACGCATAGTTACATTAACAGTTGCGATCGGGCTTGCTGTTTTTAAACAGTAAGAGCATAATGTCAGAAATATAGTGAATGAGTCGGTCCGGTTTTAACCTGTTTGGGCGATATTTCAGCAATATGACAGCGGTGGTCACCAGAAATGGGATTCTCTCATTGTACCTGTGCGGGGAATAGAATCGGCTCCTGGCTAACTAGCGAAGGCTTTAGCTAACATCTCCGCCCCTTCGACAGAAAATGAGAAACTTATTGATTAAGAACTTACTTTCAGAACCATCGTAGAAAACGGAAAAAGCGTTGATGACCACAGTGAGGCCATAAAATACTGGGAGAAGACGTAGACCAGGTTCCAGGGGCTTGTCCTGGTGGAGAGAGAAACCGCGGGATGCTAAGACATGTCATGTGTCGACATTCTGCTATTCATCATAGTGGGGTGCTAAGACAATCTTTCACATGTCAACATTCTGATATTCATCATAGTGGGGTGCTAAGACATCCTTCACATGTCGACATTCTGCTATTCATCATAGTGGGGTGCTAAGACATCTTTCAAATGTCAACATTCTGATATTGATGATAGTGGGGTGCTAAGACATCCTTCACATATCGACATTCTGCTATTCATCATAGTGGGGTGCTAAGACATCCTTCACATGTCGACATTCTGCTATTCATCATAGTGGGGTGCTAAGACATCTTTCACATGTCGACATTCTGATATTGATGATAGTGGGGTGCTAAGACATCCTTCACATGTCGACATTCTGCTATTCATCATAGTGGGGTGCTAAGACCCTTTAACTGTCGACATTCTGATATTGATGACAGTGGGGTGCTAAGACATCTTTCACATGTCGACATTCTGCTATTCATCATAGTGGGGTGCTAAGACATCCTTCACATGTCGACATTCTGCTATTCATCATAGTGGGGTGCTAAGACATCTTCACATGTCGACATTCTGATATTGATGATAGTGGGGTGCTAAGACATCTTTCACATGTCGACATTCTGATATTGATAATAGTGGGGTGCTAAGACATCCTTCACATGTCGACATTCTGATATTGATGATAGTGGGGTGCTAAGACATCCTTCACATGTCGACATTCTGATATTGATGATATTGGGGTGCTAAGACATCTTTCACATGTCGACATTCTGATATTGACGATATCGGGGTGCTAAGACATCCTTCACATGTCGACATTCTGCTATTCATCATAGTGGGGTGCTAAGACATCTTTCACATGTCGACATTCTGATATTGATGATAGTGGGGTGCTAAGACATCTTTCACATGTCGACATTCTGATATTGATAATAGTGGGGTGCTAAGACATCCTTCACATGTCGACATTCTGATATTGATGATAGTGGGGTGCTAAGACATCTTTAACATGTCGACATTCTGATATTGATGATAGTGGGGTGCTAAGACATCTTTCACATGTCGACATTCTGATATTGATAATAGTGGGGTGCTAAGACATCCTTCACATGTCGACATTCTGCTATTCATCATAGTGGGGTGCTAAGACATCCTTCACATGTCGACATTCTGATATTCATCATAGTGGGGTGCTAAGATATCTTTCACATGTCGACATTCTGATATTGATGATAGTGGGGTGCTAAGACATCCTTCACATGTCAACATTCTTATATTCATGATACCGCCGCCATATAGCTGGGATATTGCTGAGTGCGGCGTAAAACTAAACTCACTCACTCACATTATTCATGATAGTGGGGTGCTAAGACATCCTTCACATGTCAACATTCTGATATTCATGATAGTGGGGTGCTAATACATCCTTCACATGTCGACATTCTGCTATTCATCATATTGGGGTGCTAAGACATCCTTCACATGTCGACATTCTGCTATTCATCATAGTGGGGTGCTAAGACATCTTTCAAATGTCGACATTCTGATATTGATGATAGTGGGGTGCTAAGACATCCTTCACATGTCGACATTCTGCTATTCATCATAGTGGGGTGCTAAGACATCTTTCAAATGTCGACATTCTGATATTGATGATAGTGGGGTGCTAAGACATCCTTCACATGTAGACATTCTGCTATTCATCATAGTGGGGTGCTAAGACATCCTTCACATGTCGACATTCTGCTATTCATCATAGTGGGGTGCTAAGACATCTTTCACATGTCGACATTCTGATATTCATCATAGTGGGGTGCTAAGACATCCTTCACATGTCGACATTCTGACATTCAAGATATCCCCCCACCCCAACCCATTAAAACACAGTATCACACAGGTTAGTAAAGCATAACTGACATATTACGTAATGTGATATTTTTAATGACACTTCCTCACAGAAGTACCAGTTCTCGTCCCGGGACTTGCGCCCTCAATCCCTGAGTGAGGCATCAAATGTGTGAGTCGGTTCGAATCCCGGGTGGGACTGGACCGGAAAAAGGTACCAAAACTTGCACTCTAATGAGAAACAGTAATCACATTTGTATCCTACGTCCTACCATCTGTTACATTTGACAATTATCTAAAAGTCATTGTGTTTTCAGGTATGCATTTCGGTTGAAAGCATATCTGAAGTGGCCAAACTCTGAATCGCCATGTGACGCGATGGGGTTCACTAAAATGAACTGACCTTACTCAGGACCAACTTGCGGACGAGGACGAACAACACGGACGATACGATACCGGACATGACCGGGCTGATGAACCAGCTACCAACTGAAAAATGATACACACACTTTATAGAGTGGAGCTGTTGAAGTATAAAGAAAACACTAAATTTAAGGTGAATATATTTCACAAAGGAACTAAATGACTGGGAAAGTTGTATGGATATACTTCTACATTAACTTCTAACTGTCAGTCAATGAAGACAGATATACGGTTCACTACCATGGTTGGCATATTATGGTAACTAAAGATTAATGAATGTCAAATAATCTAAGAAATATTAGCCGAGCTTTTAACTAGTAGGTAATTAATACGTAGGTATTATAAGAAATATGGAAAATGTCGGGTTAAAACAATGTATGTGTATATTAGACACCAGCGTTCTTGGACACGACCAAACGCATTTCATTAAAACGCAAAGAAAAAATTATATTATTTGTACATTGAAAGAAAGTGTCAATGCCAAAAGTAAGATAGTAACTCCTTTTGTCTTAACCGTAATTCAAGCAGGACGGCTGAAGTGACAATTAATTAAACTTATAATTTAGACATCAGCAACTAATCTCTTTGGAGCTTATAGATTAGATTTCCTTACAGTCTACCCAAACATCTTTGTTCCTTACATCTCCGTATCTTGCCACATTTGCCTACAAAATTGACAAATCATTATACGAAAACTGCCTTGTCTAAAATATAACCATGAAACAAACGAACGTAAGTTTCTTGAACATTCACGTCAGAAAACGACATAGTCTTGCTTGTTACGATGACCATGCGCAGGAATTCAGACTACTTTATGTGCTACACTAGTTTTACTGCTGAGACGCAGTCACGGAGTACAGAAATAGATAAGAATTGATCGATAATAACTGCAGTCCTCCATACACGTGTTTACTAGAGCGTACCCGAGTAGTACACAAAGATAGATTTCCACCTTGGCGATAAATTGTGTAATTGTCAAGCGAACTGAATGACATAAGTTAATATCTAGGATGCCTTTGAACAGGTAGACAGTAGAGATCTCTCACAAGGCCGTACGGTGTCACATATACGTAAGGCAGTGAGGATTATTCAAATTGCTTTAGCATTTATTCGTTTTCTTTCACTTGGTCATTATTTTCTGATATCGTCGGCTGTCCAGTTTCTAAAGGTCCTGCTTTATCCAGTGGCCCTGTAGTAATATGTCATACGAATCCAGGAGACTTTGTGAAATGTTGTATTAGTTGACGCAGTGATTGTTCTTTAACCTTGAACACTTGGAGGACTGTCGTGGATCCGATCCGAGTAGACCAGGTGACCCTGTAGTTGGAGAGGGCATGTGTTTAATACAGCCAAGGTCGAACATGGGAGTATCAGTCAATGCACTACTTACTGATCATGCCCAGCTTCACCCAGCCAATCCCTCGGGCGCCATGAGCAACGACAGAGAAACCTATGGTGGCCCCCACAATACTGTGTGTTGCGGATATTGGCAGGCTGGCTATCGTAGCCCCGATCAACATCACGCAAGAACCTGTGGAATACATGAGTGAGTGAGTGAGTGAGTGAGTGGAGTGAGTGGAGAGAGGAGAGAGAGAAAGAGAGAGAATGAGAGATGCAAGAACCTGTGGGAACCTGTGAGAGAGAGAGAGAGAGAGAGAGAGAGAGAGAGAGAGAGAGAGAGAGAGAGAGAGAGAGAGAGGAGAGAGAGAGAGAGAGAGAGAGAGAGAGAGAGAGAGAGAGAGAGGGAGGGAGGGAGGAGGGAGGGAGGAGAGAGAGAGAGAGAGAGAGAGAGAGAGAGAGAGAGAGAGAGAGAGAGAGAGAGAGAGAGAGAGAGAGAGAGGGAGAGAGAGAGAGAGAGAATATAATCAACGAATATTACAAATGACTAATGCATGTAAGTGAATTCCTGCGGTACGTGTTGACTTTCAATACATGTGAGTGAGTGAGTTTACTTCTACGCTGCACTCAGCAATATTCCAACTATATGGTGGCGGTCTGTATATAATCGAGTCTGGACAAGACAATCCAGTGATCAACATTACGAGCATCGATCTGCGCAATTAGGAACTGATGACATGGGTCACCCGAGCCTGACCACCCGATCCCGTTAGTCCAATATATGTGAGCTTACCATTTTAATACTAATGTCAACTACTATGGTGTGTAAGTATAGTGCTCTATGGATGTATGAAGTGGAACAAGTTGACCGACCTGAGAGAGCTGCAACATTTCCAACCATAAGTAAGGCTTCGCTGCCATTGTAGGCGTTCACGTCCACGATGCCTTTCCGTATCGTGTCTGACACACGAGATCCTGAAACACAGGAGACATATATATCAACGAGTTATGCATGCTCTGACGTCGTTACTATCTGCACCAGATATTGTCATGAGTAAGTGAGTGAGTTTTACGCAGCTGTTCGCAATATTCCAGTAATATCATGATGGGGGACACACATTGTAACCACGTGGGGAACCGAACCCGGGTATACGACAAGACATGCGAACGCTTTAACCAGTATGCTACCCCACCGCCCCGATATCATCAACAAGAAGACAAAGTCATCAACATCCCCCGCAATGGCAAAATACTCGTCATGAACATGTCAACTAGTTATGACTATGTCAAATGTTTTGGCGTGCATATAGCAGTGAGTGACTTCAGTCTTATGCCACATTCAGCAATATTCAAGCTATATAACAGTGGTCTGTAAAAATAGAATCTGGACCAGACAATCCAGTGATCAACAGCATGTACATCGACCTACACAACTGGGATACAATAATATGTGTCAACCAATTCAGTGATGGTATTGCAAAGTGGAAGGAGAGTATTAAAAGGTTTTATAGTTCTGTTCAAAACGCGTTGCGGCGGATAAAAGGAGCAAAACCGTAATAAAACAAGCGTTGAAACTAAGGTGACATAATCCCCGCCGCAAATTATCAAATCAAACTTAAAAAGTAATGAAAGTGAAGGTCGATGTTTAAGATGAAGTTAAATGTCAACAAAAACATGACCAGTCAACCTCTCTTGATATCTTGCTCTGTAGTTGTTCAAACGCACAAATATTTTCAAGACTCACTTTGACCTTGACATGAATGTCTTAGTGTATGAAATATGCAAAATTAGTAATTATATAAATAAAGAAATTGCTTATTGAAAAACATTCAAGGGAAGTCCTGAAAGTCTATGAAGAAAATCCAGTGAACCGTTCTTGAGATATCTTACTGACAATCTTAACATGCAGTTTCATATGCTGAAATCTTCAAAGTGTTGCCGTGACCTTGAAAATTATGCGAAGGTTACCCAAATCGACTGGGCCTTGCACGTTTCCTAGATGAAGCTTGGTGTCAAATATGAAGAAAATCCAGTGAACGGTTCTTGAGGTATCTCGCTGACAAGCTTAACATAAAGCTTCACATGATGAAATCTTCAATGTGTTGCCATGACCTTGCAAACTGAGTGAATGTCACCAAAATCGACTTGGCCCTGTGCCTTCCCTAGATGAAGCTTGGTGTTGAATATGAAGAAATTCCAGCGAACGGTTCTTGAGATATCTCGCTGACAAGCTTAACATGCATGTTAACATGCTGAAATCGTCAAAGTGTCGCTGTGACCTTGCAAATTAAGAGAAGGTCACCAAAATCGACTGGGCCCTGCGCCTTCTCTAGATAAAGCATGGTGCTGCATATGAAGGATTCCAGAGAACGGTTCTTGAGATATCTCGCTGACAAGCTCAACATGCATGTTAACATGCTGAAATCTTCAAAGTGTCTCTGTGACCTTGAAAGTTATTTGAAGGTCACCAAAATCGACTGGGCCCTGCGCCTTCCCTAGATAAAGCTTGGTGTTGAATATGAATAAATCAAGTGAACGGTTCTTGAGATAACTCGCTGACAAGGGTAACACGTTAAAGTCCCCTTGTGACCTTGAAATGAAGGTCAAGGTCACCAGACCTCACTGTTATACTGCGGTGAACCTAGGTACCAAATATGAAAAGAATCTAGTAAACGGTTCTTAAGATATTCCAATTCGTACGTACGACATACGGACGTACGTACGGATACGGACATACGTACGGAGCCTAATACTATATCCCCCGCTTCGCGCTAAACGCGCGGCGGATGATAAATCCGTAATGACACACGAAAATGAAACCCCGTTTTACTATATATGTCCTATTTTGCGCCATCACTTATAATTTATCTGTCGTAAGAACGGCGACAATATTGATAACTATATTGTCTGTCATCTCCACCTTGTATTTGGTAGTGGATATGTGTATTAAGCTTTTCACATGTCTCATTAATTCTCTCAGTTGTCTTGTCTGTACTTTCAAGGTACCCGTGAAGATACGGGTAAAGATAGGTTGCCATGTGTACGCATTGTCTGCGTAATTGCGTGATGCGTGTATAAAGGCTATGTGATGCGTTAAATTAAGTCTTTTTTTTCTCTACTGGATATTGTACTGGTCACAATTGCTGTCAACAATGCCACCTTGTTTCTCAAAGAACGTTAGAGAACTAACAGAGGATGAAGAGGATGGGCTTATTGCAGGTGTATTGTATTTTCCTGAAATTTCCTTGTAATTGCGTTCCACGTATTGCTCTCCGTGGTGTAGTGGTAAGAGCGTCCGCCCGGAGTGCGGAAGGTCGCGGTTTCGATCCCCGACCGCGTCATACCAAAAGACGTTAAATTATGGTACTTGTTGGTCCCTGCCTGGCGCTCGGCATTAATGGGCACAACAAGGACTGGCCGGCTCGGAGTCAGTATAAGGTGTCTGAGTGGGGTATTCATGCTTCACTGCGGCATGGTATCTCAGTGGGCTAGCACTATAAAACCAGCTTCAGTCTGGGCTAGTACAAGCAAGCCGCACATACACATACACACGCATGCACGTCGTCACATGAGCGAAATATTCTCAAGCACGACGTTAAACCCAATTCCACCACCACCACCAAATATTGCTTATCTTCGTAACATCCTTGTGACCCTACCTGGATGCATCGTACATGACTGGATTGCATCTAACGAGTTCAATTAATTGTTCAAGAATTCGAAGTATCTCGGGTACCGAATACCGTGGCATTTTGCAAATTGTGCGTGCAATGAAAACCACATGACACTGGGAAAATCCCATGGGAATCCCTACTTCTGGCCTCCGTATAGCTGCGTGATGCGTATTCGGACAATTGTTGAGCGAAAGCAAAAACACGCACTACGCTGCACGCGTGCATGGAAACCCGGCTTTAGAATTGGTCTCCAGCAACCCATGCTTGTCATAAGAGGCGACTAACGGGATCGGTTGGTCAGGCTCGCTGACTTGGTTGACACATGTCATTGGTTCCCAATAGCGTAGATCGATGCTCATGCTGTTGATCACTGGATCGCCTGGTCCAGACTCAATAATTTAAAGACCGCCGCCACAGAACTGGAATATTGGTGAGTCGGCGTTGAACAACAAACCAACCAAACCAACCAACTTTCAAGGTAACAGTGACTGTGTAGAATTAACCATGACATAAAGTCAATATATTGATACCTAACCTATTTCAAGATATCCTCAACTGAATAATTGACATCACAATCACGCCTATAACAATAACATATGAATTATTGATAGCACTATATCGAATCAGTGATATCAAGCCCTGCATCAGACTTTTAGATATGAGAAATTAGATCTTAAGAATTGACTTATTGATATTTAAAAATGTAACTGTGACGTCGAAAAATTCTTTTTACATAAAATCGAAACTAACATAAATGATTCATTGGGGGATATGAATACATGAATTACTGATATCATTAACAAGGGAATGATATTAAAACGGCACTGTTTTCCTTATTAAATTACTTGAAGCAAGAACTGGGCATCCTTGTGGTTAAAGAGGTGGGGTAGCCTAGTGGCTAAAGGTTTGGTTGTTTGAATCCCCCATGAGGAAATAGTTTTTGATCTCTCCCCGTACCTCGGGCAGGAATTTGGACAGTATCAGCAGTTACATATTACACATTACAAGTGCTTCATGTCTGAAAGATACCTAGACCATTACAGAGACCGGAGTATAATCCAGAGAAGACAATATGACACCATGGTTATATATAATGAATAACAGCCTCTGTATGCAGATAAGATTTAACACGTACAGAACCAAGTAAAGTTCTATATCATTACCAGGACTCCACAGGAAGAGTGAGTACGGTTTAACAGCGCTTGTAACAATATTCCTGCAATATAACGTCGGGGAACACCAGAAATGACCTTCACACATTGTACTCAAGTGGGGAAATGAACATGGGTCTTCGGCGTGTCGGGCAAACGCTTTAACCACTAGACTAACCCACGCAAACCTCATGGAGTAGAACTGCGTCGTAATGAGCGTCTTTAAAATGCTGAGGGTTGATATGTGGCAGATCAAACTCCAGAACAAATTTAAAGTCTTTGTGCAAAGCGGTGAACCGTGGATAGCCCTTGCTACGATATACGATACACGTAAACCAAAAATGCGAAGTTTGATTGTCTGAATGTAAGGGATACAAGTTTTATCACTTAGCCCATCACTAGGATCCTATGAACCTTCTTTCAAAGTGATATTACGTCGTAGCCCTATCGTATTTCCCATTTGTTTGTGTGGGGAGGCGATCCTATTCACGTGCAATAACTGCATTGCGATCTTGGCCCTCATTGTTTGGCTGGAGTTTGGTCACAACTGGTAATGAAATCGTCAGTGTATGTCTGAACATCGTGTCGGAGTTTCCGTTGAAACCAGTGATACGTTCATTGGGTCCAACTCAAGTTAGAATAATTGGGCACGTCTACATTGCCTCAGCATGAAGAATTGTTCTGTACCCATGTGGGGAATCAGACCCAGTTCTTCGGCGTGACGAGCGAACGCTTTAACCGCCAGGCTACCCCTACGCCCCGAACCTGCTAGAGTAATGTTAATCATTCTTTTCATTTACCAAACCTGCTAGAGTAATGTCAATCATCTACATTAATCAAACCTGCTAAAGTTATGTCAATCATTCTTCACATTCATCGAACCTGCTAGAATAATGTCAATCATTCTTTACATTTACCAAACCTGCTAGAGTAATGTCAATCATCTACATTAATCAAACCTGCTAAATTAATGTCAATCATTCTTCACATTCATCGAACTTGCTAGAGTAATGTCAATCATTCTTTACATTCACCAAACCTGCTAGAGTAAAGTCAATCATCTACATTCATCAAACCAGCTAGAGTAATGTCAATCATTCTTTACATTCACCAAACCTGCTAGTGTAATGTCAATCATTCTTTACATTCGTCGAACCTGTTAGAGTAATGTCAATCATTCTTTACATTCACCAAACCTGCCAGAGTAATGTCACTCATTCTTTACATTCACCAAACCTGCTAGAGTAATGCCAATCATTCTTTTAATTTACAGAACGCGCCAGAGTAATGTCAATCATTATTTACATTAATCGAACGTGTTAAAAGTGATGCCAAATGTTCTTTACAATCGCCGATCGCGCTCGAGTTTTTCACACTTGAAGAAGACGTCCATGTCAACGAACGCGTGACCGATTTAAGACGATTAAAAATCGACAATTTGACATGCGTTTATCTTGATGCCTATCCCTGTAATCTCCAGTCGCTCATGCTCGACACGTGCTCCAAGGTTCGGGCCTGCTGAGGAGCATTTGCCGACATAAACAAGATTACATCCAGGTTCTGACCCGGTCAAAGCCACAGCCCGAGAAGGAGACACGAGCAACAACTTGATGCAAACAGATTGAATTGAAGGCATATCTTGACCCCAGAAAGGGTTCAGTGAAAGGGCATCGCATAGTGTACCCATGCATTTGAGTGAATGTAAATTGACGTCGATGTCGGCAAACATTCAAGGTGTTGAGGAGGTCTGTAAGGCGTCCTTGTAGCCCAGACTTTAATGAGTTGGCGCGTCACGCCGAAGAGTGATTGGGTTCGGTTTTGCGCCGCTTTTAGCAATGTTCCAGCAATATCACGGCGGGGAACACCAGAAATGGGCTTCACACATTGTACCCATGTGGGGAATCGAACCCGGACCTTCGGCGTGACGAGCGAACGCTTTAACCACTAGGCTACCCCACCGCCCCTCACGTCGAAGACGTTGGTTCGATTCCTCACATGGGTACAATGGTTGAAGGTCATATATGGTGAGATATTGGACTAATATTGCTAAAGGCAGAATAAAACCATAGCTATTCACTCACTCTGTCACGAAAACCAGCATAAGCTTAATCCACTCAATAGTGTCACGATAGCAAGCAAACAACAGAGGTACAAAGCCGTATCGCAGATTCCAAATGTATATAGCAGCTAAAGGGTACCTACTAACATCACTATAGATACCCGTGAAGATCCGGGTTAGAATTAATTCTTCAGAAACCCATGCTTGTCGTATGAGGCGACTAACGGGATCGATTGGTCAGGCTCGCTGTATTGGTTGACACATGTCATCGTATCCCATTTGCGTAGACCGATGCTCATGCTGTTGATCTCCAGACTCAATTATTTACAGACTGCCGGCATGTAGTTGGAATGTTACTGAGTGTGGCGTAAAACTAAACTCTCTCACTAAATCACTGTAAATAATTGATTGCGGACCAGTCAAAGAAGTGATGTATATTTTGTTTCATTGTTTGATGTTTAGCGCCACAAATGGGAAAAGATGACACTTGTCAACCAAGTTAGCGGGCCTGACCACCCGGTGGTCTGTAAAACTCGAGTCCAGATATTCCAGTAATTGACATCATGATCATCGATCTACGATATTGGGATACGATGATATAATTCAACCAAGTAAGCGGGCCTGACCACCTGTTAAATTACATTTGTGACGTCATGCCATTGTCTGTTCGCTTCATTACTTTTCAGGAATGGAGCGATGTGTACCATTTTCAAAATAAAACCTTCATTTTGTTATTTTGACATTTAATTTTGATAACAGAAATATTCCCAATACTTCGAATGTAATATAAGTAGGGTAATATCCTCGTAACTCTCCATTCCTTAAAAATAATGTGCCTCGGCTCCATTATTTTTAAGGAATGGAGAGTTACTCGGACATTACCCTCTGCATATCGTTGGTCGCCTACAAGCATTGAGTACATAAGATCCAATCGACCCCGCGTTTTCAGAGATAGACATTTGAGCAACGACTATCACTGTCTAGGTAGGATGAGGCCCAATTAACGAGCTTGACCACCCGTAACATTTTACAAAAGCACTGGTTACTGGGGGTTACTTTTCTAAAAAAATACGTTTCACGCATTTTACACATGTCCGACTTCGAACATGCACTGGTGTAGAAACCAATCGCTCACCATCAGACTTGCCCAGGGCATAGTCACCATGTGGAGAATGAAACAAGTCGCCGTGTTGGCTTGCACAGGACAGAAGCACGTCAACGCACCCATACTCAGAGACACGTACAAGAACATAGCACAGTACTTACCAATAAGGATAGCGCCTGCTACTTCAAATATGGTGGCCAGGATGCATGCTTGTCTCAAGCTTAGTACCTTGGCACCCACAGAAGTACCGAAGGAGTTGGCGACGTCGTTGGCGCCGATGCCAAACGCCAGGACGAAGGCGATGATGAATCCAACTATCACCATCCATAACCATTCTTCCGGTACCAGCATTTTGTAGACAACAAACGTTCACAGAACTATGGCAAAACGTCTGGAAAAGATAAATAAGAGGAAAATAAGGAAAGTGTTCATTTACAAGGAAGAAAGCTATCTTTGCCATCCTATGACAACAAAATGTTTGAAAACCACTGGACACGGAGACCATGCTCAACTGTCTAACCCGTCCGTCACCTGATATTCCAGTTACTTACAACGCGCCATTCGTTGAGACCGTTAGGCGTACCAGGATTTGCTGGTCGAGGTTTTGAGTCAGTCAAGTATCATAATATAATACAGAAGTTGTCTTCCATAACGTATCCTTACATCATAATACAGAAGTTGTCTTCCATAACGTATCCTTACATCATAATACAGAAGTTGTCTTCCACCAAATGTCTTTGCATCATAATATACAGAAGTTGTCTTCCATCAAATATCTTGGCATCATAATAAAATACAGAAGTTGTCTTCCATCAAATATCTTGGCATCATAATATACAGAAGTTGTCATCCATCAAATATCTTGGCATCATAATATAATACAGACGTTGTCATCCATCAAATATCTTGGCATCATAATATAATACAGAAGTTGTCTTCCATCAAATATCTTGGCATCATAATATAATACAGACGTTGTCATCCATCAAATATATTGGCATCATAATATAATACAGACGTTGTCATCCATCAAATATATTGGCATCATAATTGTATCTTTTGTAGCATTACATCAAAAAGGTGGAGAACCGTTGTTACCCCGGCAATGGACAATGCAAAACCAAATATCGTCGTTGTGTCAATTCAAACAGTGTAATTATGTGTAGTTTTACAAATGCAAATCGACCCTGTCTCTTCGTTAGTTAGCCTCTTGAGGTCGGTTTTACTAAAACATAGTTTTAACACATATTGACTGAGGTTTGTAGACACAAAACGTGTCGCTACGCAAATAGCGCGGTATTGATGGGTATCGACAGATGGACGCCCTTCACACAACATGAAACAACAAATGGCATTAGAAAGATAAGAAATGATAGGTATATAACGACGCTTTCACAAAAGAATATCAGAAACAGAGAGACGAACGTTTTTGTGCACACAAATTTCGGAAACGTCGTCAAACAAACGAAGAAGTTGCTCCAGGTGCCATTTAACGGACGAGACACGTACTAGCATCAGTTGGTTGCATACCACAACTAACAAAAGTTTAATTTTTAAAAACATTGAAAACATTTTAACCCGGACATTAAGACATGTTCCCGAGGAAATGCTAAAGTACCCAAAGGAAGACTATTTCTGAAGAGAAAAGAAACGAGGAATTATATAAGAAAGAAGATGAAATCTGTTATTCAACTCTAACTTCGGTGACGCCACATTCTCGGTGTCAGTAAAAGACAGCGGACTCGTGTGTCTAGAAGTGAATATCTTGCGAAACAATTACAACCTTTTATCCAACTTCAGCTTTCCTGTCTTCGGCTGATGAAGTCTGGGACTCTTGTATACGTGTTTGCGCGCAGAACCAGATGTGGCTTACTCCAGACAATGCTTGTCTAGGAATAAATTCTGTCGACTCAAAAACAGAGATAACCCTCGCTGGATGTCTCTGTTGACACAAAGTGTTGAATGAAACTGACGCGTGTTGATAACGAATCAGAGGTCAGTGAATCCGCCAGAGTCCATCGAAATATTTACAATCAGTGAATAAACTCAATGTCACATTACGGCCGAGTTGGCTAATCCATGTTTTGTTTTCTGTATAGATATATCAGACAGTCTTGTTTTGCTTTTTTAAAAATATCTTTTGATTATAGGAATCAATAGTTACAGTTTGGGTATACCCTATAAAGCCACTTTGAACAGGAATTATTGTACATGTTAATGCGCTAGGAAAACAGAACATGCAGGTCTTTAATCTCATGCTAAACCAACGGTCATGACAAGTCAAAGATCATAAACATGCCGAGTCTTGGATTCCAGTCCAAGACCAGCGGATCCTGGCACGGAAAAGGGGCGCAACTCTCAAGTACACCACTGGCCCACCCTTCCCAAGGGACAGGGTCAGGTGCACATTTAAAGCATTAAGTTAGTGATTGATTGTTGGCGCATTTTTTCCAAAACATTCTAAGATTTACTCCGCGTCCTAAATCTCCATCGTCCCGTCCCCTTTCGAATGAATAACAAAAATAAAATAGAAATATAGCAATACCTGTATATACAACAATACATACATAACTAATCAGTAAAAGTCTATTTTACAATGAAAATGTAAAAACAAAAAAATACTCAAACAAATAATAACAACATTCCAGTCTCTTAGGGATAACATTTTCCACGGTCACCTCTTGATTCTCAAGGAAAGAATCATACTTTCATAACCTATAACAATCGTCATTCCTTGGTACGCTCACAAGTGTAATTATAAATCTCAAAATTATCTTACGTCCAGATGTAAAATGTTCATTCGTGATTGTTCGACATTGTCCTTCACCAACCTGTTGCATATATGACTGCATGAGTGAAACACCAGTGAAATGGCCTAGCTACGGGCATCCCTCTCTAAACCAAGCCTGGTAACACGAGTGAATTCGCACTTACCTTGGGAAACACTTGTTTACAAAGGGGGATCATGAGTGAAGATTACTGCTTATCTTTTGTATTAACGAGTTGCGTTTATTTTATCTCAACGAATTACTGAGATCTGGGTTTCAGGAGTCAATTTCATTGGCTAAAGAACAACGGGCGGAGTTTAATCCCGGATGAAACTTACAAGCCCTTGCTGTGTCGGGGGTCGGTGGGGTAGCCTAGTGGTTTAAGCTCCGAAGACCCAGGTTCAATTCCCCACATGGGTACAATTTGTTTCTGCCAGTGTGTATATGTTACAGTCAATGTCTACAATCAGGCAATGTGTACAATGACTGAAATAACCAGTCAATGTGTACATTGCCTGATTCACTCAGTCATTGTGTACATTGTCTAAAATTTCCAGGCATTGTGTACATTGCCTGATTAATTAACCCAACTATTGTACAGATTGAACAGGGATTATTGACGACAAGATTGCATGGGTTTCGTTCTGTGGGAGGCTTCTTTTAATAAAGTATAGTTTATAGTTTAGACAAGATTAGCACAGGTTTTTCCTTAGAGCACAGGCTTCCTTAGAAATGCTATAAAATGTTTATATTTTCTTATTAGACTTGACATTTTCTTCTTGTCATCCAAAGTCTTCCCTAGAACATCTCTTGAGTAGACCACAGTCAGATTCAAAGAAATCTTGTTGACTAAAGAAGAGTTCTTTAATTTGATTGAAGAAGTCATTCATTCTAGTTATCATCAAGAAGAGTACGAGATCGTGCAGTGTGGTGATGTCCTGAGTTAATCAGAAGAGAAAGCCAGAATCAGAGTCTGCAGTTAGCTATTTCACTCATATTGATGAGATGTTTGATATCATAAACGATGATCTTCTTCAAGTGCTTCAATCAACTACATCAGAAGAGACATCAGCGGTAGAAGCATCCCAGACAACATCAGCAACAGACACATCGCCTGAAGCTTCAAGGTCAGCTCAGAGATCGTCCCATCTCAGACAGGGTACAACATGCCAGTATCCTGTCATGCCGGAAGAGAGCTGCTGATGGTGTACTATCACACGCTGAGAGAATGATCAAGCGTAGCCGTATAATCAATGTTGCTGCTAACCCTGGGGACAATGTGACCGTCCCTATGTCCATGGTTGATAGGGGAAAAGGTGATCCACGTAACATTATGGGTGTGATTCTAGACAGGAGTGAAAATGACCTCTATAAAATTGGTGTACAGGCAGGTGTCCTGAAAGGTAGATATTCAAGGAATCAATTTGACATTTGCACTCAGAAACTTTACGCTCTCAATGACATTTCAACAGAGAGGGTTATGCAAGGTGTAACTGTTCTAAAAGTTGGAAACAGTGTGCTACAAAAATAAGTGTAAATGTTACAAGTTGGGTTTGTTGTGTAACAGCAGATGCCACAACAGTGCCAATTGTCCAAACAAAAGTTGCTGAAGTGGGAAGCAGTGTGCCACACGTGTGTTACAAGTTGTTGTTTGTGTGTAACAGCAGATGCCACAACAGTATCAATTGTCCAAACAAAAGTTGCTGAAGTGGGAAGCAGTGTGCCACACGTGTGTTACAAGTTGGGTTTATTGTGTAACAGCAGATGCTACTATTTCATGTCTCTAACTTACTTTTATATTGATTTGTATTTTTGTGTTACGTAGCTGATACTATTTCTTTTACATCAGAACATCATGTGTTTACATACTGTTTGAAATAAAGTCAATTGTGCTTCAATTAATGAATTTGTTAGATATTCGCCACTTATTCATTCAAACAGAACGAAACGCATGCTAATCTTGTCTTCTCAATAATCCCTGTTCAACAATCGGTCAACCTGCACACATTTTTTGTGTACAATATCTTGACACATTAATGAAAAACTCAGCACAATTTCAAGACATTACGTGAACGTTTGCAGTCCATTCAGACTCTTTGACTTCAGTATCTAGTGTGACCACCACGAGCGGCAATAACTGCAGCACAGCGTCTATGCATGGAGTGCACCAATCGATTGATGAAGGCCATTGGCACCTGGAACAACACTCTGAGAAAGGCCTGGCGCAAGAAATCGGCTGTGTTCGGCCTTGGTATGACATTATTCAGTCTCCTCTGAATTTCATCCTAAAGATGTTCAATTGGGTTTAAATCAGGACTAAAGACTGGCCACTGCATAATGTTGACACCACTCTGCTGTAGGAAGTCCCGTGTAGATCTGGCAGTATGGGCCCGGGCGTTATCATGCTGGAAAATGTTGTTCCGGTGACGTGCGAAATGTGGTATGACGTGGGGTCTGAGAGCTTGGTCGATGTAGTGCACCGCTGTGATGCCGCCTCCTCTCCCTGGACCAAGGTTCTGGAACACCACAGGCCCCACACTCTGGTTCAGGCCTGTTCCACCCCATACCATGATGCTTGCACCTCCCCATGAGTCTCTTTCCATAACACATTGGTCTGAGTAAC